GCTGTTGTCTGAGAATCCAGCTAATGAACTGCCATGACTTTATTTTTTTTTTAACCAGTGGAATCTAGTTAGCATCCAGGCTCAAATGCCAAAGTCATTAGGCACATTCCTGAGGTGAAAACTATTCCGAAGCTGGGAAACAGGGTTTGACTGCCTGCCTGACCCGCTTCCTCTCATTGCCCAGGCAATTTAAATCCATTTTTTCCCCAAAACAGGTTTCCAAGATACAGTTGAATTCCTTGCCAAACTGACAGATATGAGGAACAGGCACACAGTGACACATAGTAGCATTACTGAACATCTGTAAGCATGCCATTAATTTTACACGGAAGGAAGAAGCTCAGAAGAGCACTGGCCAGAGGAAAACAAAGAGTTTTCCAAACACAGAGTTCTTCTTGCACTCTTGCCTTTGCACTGACTGCCCTGACAGAGGGGAATGATTCTTCATATCGACAAAAGCAGGATTCTCCATGAAGCATTAAACTCCTGTGGCAAGGAGATGTTCCTCTAACAAAGTTAATAAAAATGGCTGAAGAAAGTAAATCACTCAGTTTCTCTCCCTTTATAGATTTCTGTTTCAAATCGTCCTTCTTCAGGGACTGTGGAGACCTGCCAGCTAATTTTGTGGATAGGATGGCTTCTAGGCTTGTCTCTGATCTCTAGATGTTATTATTTCTTCATAATTGTTTACTGTATAAAATCAACATCCTTCTCTCCAGAGGAACATTGCTCAGAGTTACTCATGAGAGCCTTTTAGCTCACAGTTGTAGGCCTGCTGTCGTCTTGACAACACACTCATGTCAAGGTTAATGTCATGTCAAGGCACTGTTAGTACTTCCTTTCCTTGAGCAGTTATTCTTTCAACTGTAAGGATATTAATGCAATTTAAAGTTTCTTGGCCAACCTTTAGGGTTATTCCAATTACATGGACAGAAGTTTCAAGGATTCTGAGAGTACTGTGGGAGTAATTGTAATTGTGCAGAAAAAACCCTAGATTTTGGGTTGTGCTCTGAAAGCACAGGACGGAAAGCAATCACCTCCACATTCCAACCTGGTTGAGAGAGGGACTCTGCCCATGATCTCTGTTGTGTCACCTGAGCTTCCTCTTGGAACCTTCCCATTGCATCCCCATCTGTAAAAGTGAGATAAGGCTTTTTATTAAGTTCATGGGGATTTTAAAATTCAATGTTCATGAAGAGAACAGAACTGCAAGCCTTTCTGTGTTACTGCTAAGTGCAAAACTTCCCTAAATCTTGGAGAACAGTCTCAACACAGAACCCTCAGACCACATTGAGAGAGGAGACATAGCTCTTTTTGTTTTACTGCAAAGTGAATAATTTAAGAATATTCTTGCTCACAGTCTTGAAATCATCCTTTATGTGTCCCTGGGCAGAGCTGGAGACAGCAAGGTTTGTGTGTCAACAGCTGTTATGTTAACTGGTTCAGTAAGACCAAGGGCAGGAAAGCACCTGCCTGTGTTGGTGCCCTGGGCAAGACATTCCTCTCTCTGTTATTCTAATCAGTCAGGCTTATGTAATTGCTTAAATAATAAAAAATAAATCTCTATTGCTTGTCTTGCATGTATGATCTTATAAGTGCGCCCATTGCACATCACCCAGACTGCTTAGGGTCTGACTTGGACAGATTTATTCTTATGCAGTCTCCCTCCCCCAGGGCCTCTGCCAGCCACTGAGATCCCCATATTCAAAAGCACCCTAACGCTATATTCCTCTTGAAAAAGATGTGGATGCTTTAATTGTCTTCCTGGGTTTCTATGACAACCACAGCAACATAAACAGCCTTGCTGGCAGCCACAGGAGACTGAAATCTCTGCTCTCTTCCCTCCCCTCCTCTGAACTTTTCAATGTTCAGAACTTACCGTAACCAAATAAATACGATTAACAATAAACATAGAGGTGGTGTTGAGTACACCTGTCTGGCACTGGGGAAACATCTTGCAAATAAAAGCACATTACAGTATTTTATGATAACAGTCAAGACATTGCCCGCTATATCTGAAGTACCTTGGGACCAACTGTGAAAAACAGTGCAAAGCTATAAATTTATAAACAGGAGCTTTCTATGTAAGCTTGCATGGCTGCAGAGAGCTTTAAAAATATATAACAAGGTCTTCTCTGTTTGCTGGTGCCTCTGAGCACCACTCCCCTTGCTTGTAGGTTACATATCAGGAATAGATAAGCCCCTGAGCAAGTGTCAGGACAGTCAAGGTTCAGACAGCTGCAGAGCTGTGTGGGTGCACACACTTCGTATGGTGCGACTGTAGGCACCTCTCCATGGCTGCAGCTCCCAGCTTTCCAGCAGGAAAATCATAAACAAAATGTGATCACAGCAGCAGAAATGCCCTGCACAGCACTGTCAGCCTGAGTCCAGGAGAAGCTGTTTCTCTGAACTCCCACATCAGGCAGCGTAGTGAGAGCTGCTGCTTCTGACAATGCTCAGACATCTGAGGTCCAACAAATTACTCAGGTCTTTCTTCTCTCCTGAGCATCATTAATGGCAAAATAAATTTGCCATAAGAGATTAGCATAACTCTGGAGGTTTTAAGCCATTTAAACTCATCCATTGAATACTGAATGGCCTGAAGCCATCAGAACACACAGGACTTACAAAGAGGTTGCACGTAATAGTTATGGTTATCAGCTGTCCACAGGTCACAAAATCATCTTTCAAGTTATTGAACCACTTTCTGATCGTAAAAATGCCATGTATTTTTAAAATAACTGCCCCTGTATGTCTAGTTTGTGACAAAGTAACTTTGTGAAAGGAAGGGCTGCCATTTCCTTCACCAGCGCTGTTAGTTTGTCTCAGGCACCTGTTCTCCCTATGCTGCCAGAGAAATCCAGGTGACTCCAGCTGCTCTGAGACACAACTGGGGATGTAACTATGCTGTTTTCCCTGCAGCAATCTCCTTCCTTGGCAGGGAAATCCTATGGCTCTGTGTGACTGATTTTTCTTTAAAGCAGACTGACGATTTGAGGAAATGGAGCTGGGGGATGGTGTGTGAATGTGAACCCTTGGAAAGCAAAACCTATGGAGATTCCTTCCGGGCTAGTATGCAGAAATACATGTGTCTGTGAAGAGGAGGAGGAGAAGCAGTTGAGGAGGCAAAATGCTTCTCTCTTTCACAGGGCTTGGAAGGCACAGAAGGAGCCACCTGAGATAGAAATTAATGAAATAAAAACTAGAAATGGGGATGAATATTTGAAAAAAAGAAATGTGGATATTTTATTGGTTTTCTGTCTTAAGGCAGGACTTTCCCTCCAGTGACAATCAATATAAAAAATTTAAAATTGTTTCATTTTCTCTTGCAAGATTTTAAGCAGTGTCCTCATGCTACAAAATTCTTGCACAAAATGGAAATGTTGCATTTTGCAATATGGAAAGGAAATATTTCTTCTTTCTTATCTAGTTTACCTCAAAAGGCTGTCTAGCAAAGAGTGCTATGTGAGAGTGAATCATGAATATGAAAGGACTGCTGATCCCCACATTTTCTATATTATACAGTAACACTGCCTAATTAAATAAAGTTTGATTTTATCTATCAACTATTCATAACAAGTTTTTGTTTCCATGTATGTCTTCCTGCGTGCTAGTATGACTTGGCCAATTACAAACACGTTACTTCAAACTACAGCATATAGGAAATGAATGTTTACTTGGAATACAAAGAGACATCTGTTACCTTACAAATATGAGAGTCCAAATGCTGCAGAGTACATCGGGATATCAGGCAGTATGCAAGGTATGTTGCATAATGCACCCTTGAAATTAGTCACAGAACAAATAAGTTGGATGAGATTTTGTAGTATTCATTGTTAATTTATTAACTGTAATAGCTCCAAAATAATCATAGTGCTTTTAAATTAGGATGAAAAAAATGTAAGCTTCTCTTTTCTGCACCTGGAATGAATTAATAGGCATAAGATTTAATGGTACTGAAATCAAAAGGAGGGCAATTTTAGAGTAATTTTAAACTAATGATTCTACAATTAGTAGGTATTTTCATACCTTTCAATCTTTGTCCAATATGACTCACTGCCACTAAGGCCTTTGGTTTTAACTTCTGAGAAATACATATGAAAGTTAAAAAAATTAAAAAAAAAAACAAAACCCAAACCACTAGATGAACCTTTGCCTATTTCCCAAGTATGTTCATGGTGTGTGGGTGGCTGAGATGAATTATGGGGAGGCAGTTTTAACAGAAGTAATTACCTAATTCCTTTGTGGCTTTGAACCATTCTAAACTCTAATCCAAGTCCTAATCATTATTAAAGTATTCATAAAGCCTTTACAAGACAGTGTTCCAACTCATAAAGCCATTCCTTAAGAATAGTCAGCACTTCAGAAAACTTGAAGATTGCTGTGACTTCACAGGGAATCTTTGTGGTGCTTAAGAAAAAGGTGTGATGTACTTTGCAGTTGCATTTTGACTTACCTATGAATGCCCATGTTTTTACAGCCCAAGTGTAACATATGGTATGACAATGCTTTTAAACACAGAAACACAGAAATCTGTGGCCAAAACCCATGCTTCTGACAATTTGAACTTTTCAGATTTTGATCATTTTAGTTTACTCAGTTGAGCTGATTGGTTTCTTTAGTAGGCCAAGATTAAAAGTGTGGTTTAATTAAAGCATTTAAAAAGAAGATTAATTCAGGGGGCTTTAAGTATGTAACTAGTGAATATGCCACCTCAAAGGAATGAAAACATTAAGGAAAGGTAATTTACCTAATTGTTAGTGTACTTTTGCCATAATTCCCAAGTGACAGAGTACACCAAACTGGCTGCACACATCAGGGTCAAGGCTTTTATTTAGAACAGTTAGAAAGTAATCACCCATTTTTGACAATATCAAACTATTTTTTTCTTTCAGAACATCCTAAGAGTAATTTTTTATGTAAAAGCAAAGTTGTTATCAATAGCATAAAATGCACTCTCTGTAGAGCACAAGACCAAAAAATCTTGAAAAGTGACATACCTGCCCCAAGCTGCTTTCATTGTAGAATCTTTATCAACAGGAATGCATGAGGACTCAACAACACTTGATTTATTCAATTTGTAGCAGAGACCACAGTCTGGATCTAACATACATCCATTACAATAGCTGAAAGAGAAAGAAATAAATACTTAAACAACACTTCGTTCATTTGCACATGTCAAAACCGACAGCATCTCCTAGTCAGTCTTGTAATGCAGGTAGTTCAGTTGTCAGTGTTGAAGACAACAGAACTTCTCAAAAAGCTATCACATATTGCTTTCACCTTCTTCTGTGACACATTTGGTGGTCCAATTGCAAATGTCCCAGTGACACCTGACGAGGGTCTAGGATAATTCACTCACAGAATGAACTTCAATTAAAAAAAGACAGATTGGGGTTGCAGAGGAAGAATCATCATAGAATCATAGAATTGTTGTGTTGGAAGTGACCTTAAAGATCATCTAGTTCCAACCTCACTGCCACTAGACCAGGTTGTTCAGAGTCCTATCCAGCCTGGTCTTGAACACTTCCAGGGGTGGGGCATCCACAACTTCTCTGGGCAACCTGCTCCAGGGACTCACCACCCTCACAGTAGTGAATGTCTTCCTAATCTACATTTAGAATATAAATCTACTTTAAATATACCTTCCTCTTGCTTAACTGACAGCTCAAATTCAGGTTTGAACAGCTTTTTTTTTTTTAATTAGGAAAGCTGCATTATATCAGCTTTTAACTGAGATACTAACTTCAGAAAATATTTTTACAATGGAGATAAAACAAAACTTTCAGATAAAAGTCAATCATATTATCTAACTGTAGTAAACATTTCTTCTCTTGCAAAGATAAATGAGAAAATTGTAATTCTGCAATTATCAATTTTCGAAGGGAAGGACAATACCCATATTACAGTAGCGAGACTTAGTTACATTTTGTTACAGCGATATTAGTACAGCAACGGGCAGTAACCAAGAGTTGACAGGAACAGAAGACAGCAGGTCAATAAAAACATTTTTATACACCACAAATGTATTCAAGTATGCAATAACAATACTAAAAAAATGTATAAAACGACAATATTTTCACGTAGTGATAAGAATATCATGATATCAAACAGGATCCTGATATATGATTTTCAAATGTAGAATATCATCTACTCAAATGATGTTATCAAAGTACCTGTTAACAACATGAATTTATAAAAAGCAGAGTGCCAGCACATCCAGCATGGTGTCCTGGCATAGAAAGCAGTCGTTTCCAAATACTACATGCTATCAAGTGAAGGAGTGAATTTTAAAGTCAACTGTATGCAAATTATATTCAATGTGAACGCCATGTGCAGAATTTAAGAGATTAAAGTGGTCTTTAGGCAATAACTCTCTTCAGAATATTTCAGGATTCAAGGTTTCTCTAGATTTATTCTTTTTAGGTTTTACATTAAGCAGCCAAATACCAGAAACCAGCTAGAACATCAGCAAGACACAGGAATGCAGAGACTGACAATGAGACACAGCGATGATTGTCATCTTTATGGTGCTGCCAGCAGAGGACAGGATGGGGACTGGATACCTCATCATTTTCCTCAGCATCCTCAACAGAATCAATGCAGAGATGAACCACAGAGCTGAGCTGTGCTCTGTCTGTTCTGTCCTGCTGGGCTCACTCTATGGATAATGCAACATAACCTCATTTGGCGCTGGGCATCAGTAATCAGACAAGTAGGAAGCAGAAGATATCTTATTTATTTCTCCCTCCCATCCAGGAAAAAAGTCAAGAGATTTGATTACTGATTCCAGTGTCTATATGGCTGTTACTTCAGCTGATCCTCTGGTTTTATTGGATATCATAGAATAATTTAGGTTGGAAAGGACCTTTAGTATCATAAATCTAACTGGTCTTCCTTTTGGCATTTGACATTATAAGGGATGCTGGATTTCATGTCATGCCAAATGTCAGAGGTTATAGTTTCTCATAAGAATTTAAATAATTTAAAACTATTATTTTCCACAGCTTTTCCAAAGCTTGTCTTTCAGATTGAACAGTTAAATAACAATTTACAAGCCTTTACTTTAGGATTTCTCATCATTAACTATACAATGAGTTCATACAATCAGGCTTTGACTTTAGGTTTTAGAGACAAGACCAATTTATGTCAGAGGAAACACAGAAATTCAATATACAAGACTTAAAGCCCTTTCAAATCTAACTCCCAGCAGACTTAGGGTAGGCTGTTCAAAACATTTAACATTCTTCTGTGCACCATTTTATCACTGACACAAAATTTTGTTGTCTTTGATAAGATGAAGACCAATGTTTTTTCCTCCCAACTCCCAAAATATACACATTACAACTGTTTCATAACAAGTAAAGAAATCTGTGTCAGTTAATAAAGTCTAATGATCACAGAAGATGCAGCATAAAATAAGCAAGGAAGACTTTTTTTTCAAAGAAGCAATAAAAAAACAACCAAAGACATCTTGTGCTGAGGCTGTTTACTCTAGAAATAAAATATACAGTAGTTTCAGGCTTATGTCCTTCTTCACTCCAGCCCCATTGCTGTTTGCTAAACAAAACTATTTAACCAATTTGAAATTGAGCACATATTCTGACATACCTGGTCATAGTAATGTAAATAATATAGGACATAGAATATATCAGGAAAAGAAATGCACAACATAAAAATTACTACAGAGCTCCTTTCTGTCCTCAAATGTACCTTCTTATTGACCCTACCCATATATATCCAAATATATGTCAGAGGATAAATCTACGAAAATACTGATAATTCTTCAAATCTACACCACAGATCAGTTATGGTCTCAAAAGCTCTATACAAGAATACTCCAGGATGTCTAGGTAGGAAAGGAAATTTGCATCCAATTATAAATGGGAGATATGCTTCCTTTATTTTATCATGAAATATTTATATTTGTGCTAAGTTTATGAGCCAGTGTCTTGAAAACAGGTTCACCTGTGAAGAGCCAGTTGAAAATTCCCAGGCAGGATGGTTCTCTACCAGACTGACAATTCAATATTAAATTACCTGAGAGAGATTATTTGATTTTGATGAAACCAGGCAGCAGAAAGGTTTTACAATGTGCCTTTTTCCTTCCCTGCTTACCAGCTGGGCTCCTAGGCAACCCAACATGAAGGCAAGTGTCTAGACTTCAGATGCTTCAGCCTGTGTAGCAGAATAACAACAACCAGGAATGCGAGGCTCCAGAAGTTCAAAGACACCCAGCTTCTTTGCATATCAGTGTGGCATGAATTCAACAGAACAAAAGTCTCAGCAGCTTGACCTTTCAGTTTATGGGGAACCGCCATGGAATGGGATTTCTGGGTTCCTGCTTCATCGTCACAGCATGTTTACTGAGAAGCTGATGGACTATTAGAATATATATCCCCAAACTTGCCATTCCTCCCTCTGATTCTGCCAACACAGTCAATGTGTTCTCTTTATCTGACCAAACAAGAATAACTGACATCTAGAAAGGCAGGCAGCACTAACTTTGAGGTCCCTCAATAGCAATTTCTTGCCCATCTGAGCATCAGCAGCTTTCAGAATGCTCTGCTCTGGAGCAGCCTGCCTGATTCCTTAGGTTACAGGTTGATCACAAAGTTCACAGTACCATCCTCTTTCACAGAGATCTTACAGTGTGTGGATGAATTATTAATTGACTAGATGTGCACATTTTTCTTGATACCAACATTACTATTTTCTTTCTTCCTAACGGTATAGTTTACTAGCCTCTAGTACAGTCTCTAAAAATACTGAATAAAATCTCTGATCTGCCAAAGTGACCCTCCAGATGACAATGAAAGGTTCACAATTGCTTTTTCCCCACTGCGTATGTTTGGTTTGTCATTACATTTTGTGCTCTAAATTTGCAAAATAACCTTTTAAGTAATGACTTTCCTACAATTCTCAGCAGTCTCATAATGTGAGCAGCAAGTTGTACCTTGCCACTTTTTGTTGAGTGATTCAGCACTAAAAAGACCTTTGCCCACTGCCCTTGCTCTGCAAGTGCCATTTCTCTTGTTGTCACACTATTTTGTCTTTTTCAAGATGAATCTCAATTTCTGAATTATTCATTTCAAAACATTTAATTGATTTTAATTTTTGCCACATTTTAAAGAACTTTCAACTTTGCCTTCTGTGTTCTGTTATCCAATTACAAAATATATCAGTATGTTCCTATTGTCCGGTTACAGAAATGCAAACCGAACCTGATAATATATTGTGGACTGCATAGCTCTTTGACAGAATGTAACACCTGATTTCATAATATTCTACCATGTGAGCAGCATGAACAGCCACTCAAGAGTATCAAAATGTCCCCAAATACAGACGTTTTCTGGGACAGACTCTTTCCACTTCTTTTGGATTCATCATTCACACTGAGCACATGCTGCACGAGCAGCCCAAGTATGTGAAGAAGGATTTATATGTGAAAATCTGATACATCCACAACATATAAGTTGGACCTGATGATCCTTAAGGGTCCCTTCCAACTTGAGATACTTATGTAGGACATTTTGTTCATGTCCTGTCTTTTCCAGAGAGTAAATTCCAGTGTCATGGGCTTGCTGAACACACTGCTCCTGCTCTGTATGATGCAAATATTCACATTCCTGCAGAAGGTTTTACTCATAGAACTGCAGGAACAATAAAAACCATTTCAGGAAAGGCTCAATGTAGGGATGGCAAGGTCTTGCAGTATCTATGGAGGATTAGCAAATCCCTCCCAGAGAGAACATCATAAGCAGAAAATCACTGCAGGCTGGAAGGAATGTCACTTTGACTGTCCCCTGCTTTCTACTCTTTCCAGCTTGCTGTTTGCCACAGTGGAAGCATGATCCTAGGCCAGGTGGATCTTTCATTCTACTTAGCATGCCCTCAGATTTAATCTTTGCTCTCAAGATTGGTTATGCACACAGTCTTCTGCCTCCCTTAGCATGCAATGTAGTTGCTTTCCAGCTGCTTATAAAACAACAACAGACTTCCTTGCTTCTGTGCTTGTATTCTCCTGTCTAAAACCCGACAATATCTCTTCCTCCAGCCCCAACTGAAAGAAAATGCCCAAGATACATGAGCTGAGTATCACTGGTCAGGACATGTCTACTCAGTT